ATAGTATTTCACAGAATAACAACAAAAGACAGTGAAACCACCATAAATGAGTCGACACTCAATGCGGGGACCGGTTCCCTAGAGAAACACACGTGTTATCGATCTCTTTCATGAATCTCCTGTACTAGACACGTGTGCTACAGGACCATCCCAACCCAGCATGAGTTCTGACCTCCCAATGCCCAAAAGGTCCTTCCCAAGTCCCTCCACTAGAATCATCTGAGTATATATATATATATATATATATATATACACACGTATATCAAACTGTATATGCACCCATGCATGTGTATTTGGTCTTGGTGCATGTTCATGTGCATGAGGTATTAATATAATACATGTCATGTCTATACGTGTGCACCAACCTCAGCACAACAGTACAATTGTTTTATTTGTCATTTAGGAAATTTAAAATGATAAACATTACCTCTGCTTGCTTAAGATATAATAATAGTGTCTCTACTGTTAATGTAGACTTTATGGCCGACTGCCAGAAGACCAAATGTACACCGTGACAGATATCTGCACTGATTTAGAAGTGTTTATAGTGTTTATTTTTTACCCAACAAGGGAATTTTTTTACTCAAAGTGGTCCAACGAGTAAAAATTACCGATATGTTGTGATGTACACGTATTTCGGTAAAATATCATTGCTCAAGTCTTCAAAAAAAGATTTTTTTTTTAATTTTTTATAGGAAGTTGATGAATATTTGAAAATTTTTGTTGGTTGTCTAAATGACGCGCTCAGATTTTATGTTTAGTAAATTTTATTTGATTAGATTTCTTTTTTTATTTTTTTAGAATTTTTAGAAAAAAATTATTTTTATGCTTATTAGGTTTCTTTATATCATAAGATTTTGTGTTGCAGTTAATTTCTTTATAAATTAGGGTTTTCATTCATTTTAAATATATGTAACTGGGTTATCATTCATTATAAATATATGTAATGTAAAAATTAGAAACATTCATTCAATACAATATCAGATTTATCTGTTACTTTGTGATTCAAAGCAACCGTATTTGTTATTACAGTATCAATAGTCTGACATTTAAAACACTTATACTGGAGACACCATATTTCTTATTACAGTATCAATAGTCTGATATTTAAAACACTTATACAGGTGACACGACACCACCAATGTATTGTAAAAGATCCGGACTCTCGATAACAATATCGTATCTTGTGCATGCTTTGGCTCTATATGTTACGCATATATTTAATATTAATCGAGGAGTACTTGGTTTGGTGGTGGGAGCAAAAGGTGGGGATTCAGCCTCAGCTGTATCTAGATTGAATAGAAGTCTCTCTCTACATATTTAATTAGTTTTCTACAAATGTGGTCTACAAATTATAAGAAGATCAAAAATAGTGTCCTCTTTTTCAAAGGCAAAAAGAGGTGGTTTTTTAGCAGCTAGCAAGTGAGTGAGTCTGTGAGAGAGAGAGAGAGAGAGAGAGTTGCATTGGGGGGATGAGAGGTCTGTGATCTGAGCTTACTTTCCCACCAATAATTGAAGCTCACAAAGACTTTAGTTATAATTCAGTTAAGGTACCAATGATATGGGTTGAATTTAGGTAGTGGACTCCATCTTTACACGTCCGAATTAGTTGTTGTCAAAAACTTGGAGCCATGTTAGTGTTCTCTTTCCAAAACTCCATGTGTTTTCTTCACATCAAACACCCTCCCCCTCCCCTCCTTTAGTGGATTCCACCTCCTTTTTCCACCATGGATTCCCTACACATAGTTAGTGGTGGGTTTCCCTTTCACAACCTACCAAAATAAGCTAGGTTTATGCATCCTTCCCCAACTCTCATATATATATATATGTGTGTGTGTGTGTGTGACTGTGTGTGTGTGTTTTCCATTCATCTCTGAGGTGGGGTTCCTTCAAATCTAGATACCCAATGAGGTAGAGCAATGGCTGTGGTTCCAATATTCAGATATGGTCTAGTAACATAATGCTAATAGGGACCTCTTGTATGTGGTGTTCAAATGGATTTTAGTACTACATGTTTCTTGTTTCAAGAACATGGCACAGCCTTTTTTTTTGGGGGTTGTAAAAAATATCTAGTCAATTCCATACAAATTGTGCTTTAATTTTTATATTAATTAGTCTCATTTACATATGTTCTAACTAGTGTGGTGCCAACTCATGTTTGTATTTCAAAATAATTAATTACCTAAAGCTAGTTAAGCTTATTTAAAATTCAGTCAAATCTGTTTTTTGTTTTTTGTTTTTTTTTTTGGCTTGCTTGTCTGACAAAAGGGTTGAAGTACATCTATGGTGTGCAAGAAAGGAAACAGCAACAAAGATGAGACAAGGCAAGATCAAATATTGTGAACATGTTTCGTTGCAACATTATTTGGATATATATATCTACTCACATTTCTCCCTTCAAAGAATTATTTGTACTTAAGAGAAATCAAACTTTAGACCTGATGCCTTCTCATATACTAACGCTCTTAAACAAACTTTGAAGTGCCACAACCACCAAGATCAAATTCTTACTTGCTTGAGCCAACTTTCTAGAATTTATTTTTTTATTTAGGAAATTCCTTGGGATTTAATCACTCAATATATATTAGAAATTAGGATACTGAAATTTTGAAATTGATTAATTGTACTATTTGTAAATGATATGCAAGAGATCAGATATTTAGGAAGTGGGTAGTTATGCTTGAAAATTGAAGACATTTGATATAACATATGTCACTTGTATAATACTATAAATTTATAAAATAACCCTACAATGTTCCAATTATTGATCATTATTGTTATAGTAAGGAACACAGAGGAAAATAAATACCTCCCTCCTATAACAGTCTCCACTAGTTCAACCTCCCAGAATCCTCCAAATAATTGGGAGGAAATTAATTAATTAAAAAAAAAAAAAAATTGGGACTCCAAATAATTGGGAGTACTACAACATTAGTTTTTGGTCACATCTAGGTCAACTCTCAATGATGTAAGGAAGCAATAATTTCTTTAGGAAAAGCCATATATATAATGGTTGTGAGAGATGTATTTCTAATTTTAGATAGAGGAAAAGCTTTAGCCTCTTGGGACAAAAATTATAAATTGGCGGGTAATTAACAAATGAATGAAACATCTTTTCCAACCTTGAATCTCATTCATGACCAATTGTATGGCCCAACACATCATCTCAATCTCATATGATCCAATCATAAATTGTTGTGATGATCTTATCTTCCCAATTAGTTGTTGAATATTTTTACTTCTATATGAATTAAGATGAAAATTATTAGGTCTACAGCACTTCAGCACTTGCACTCCTTTTCCCTGTGATATTAATTGGTGTAATAAGTAAAATGGGTAAAAGGAATTTTTATTTTTTTTTTTGATAATGGGGTGTTCAGGCTTTGCCCCAACTAAAGAATGGAACTCATTCCAAATTCTCTTACATGGATCAAGTAAAATTAAGACTATATTTACAGATATGACCTCTAAAAAATTGTTTACACTTAGGAGAAATCCATCATGAGACCTGACACTTCATATGGTATTAGGAGCCAAATATGATAATTTAGTATTTAAATCTCAAAAACTACCATGGCAGAGGTTTAGCCGCCGGTTAATAGGTGTAATAAGTTAAAAAGGGTTAGAATTAAATTAGAAGATGCAGAAAGTCGAAAACTGACACTCCAAAATTCACCGAAGGCACTAATTAACTGAACTATCGAGACATCTGCACTTGATACAATGGTAAATGTGACAATGGTAAATGTTTAGATGTTTAAATTTCCCGCAAATTTTAGTTAAGACAAAAAAATAAAAAAATTGATGTTAGTGGTTAGTCTCTCACAACAACCTGCTTAGGTGGGGAATTAATATGTGCCATGTAATGCCACTTTTAACATGTGAAATGACTATTTTCTTCATATACTTAAATGAACTAATTCAACATATTTATTCATGATTCCATTTACTAATAATTAATGAATAAAACAAATAAGTAGATCATATAGATAAGAGCAAATAATTAGCACGTTGTTCTGTGGTAATGACAGTGTGACAATCTTATTAAACTAATGTAGAACATGAGAACACAGTATGCAGAGAGTAAGCCTATATATTAATCTATAAAAGATTAATTTATTAATTAACTTGCTATTAATAGTTAATTAATTAAATATGTTTTACACCATATGAGAGAATACTTGCAATCTTTCTGGAGATGTTGTAAACTATGATCTTCTTTCTTTTACCGTTTACACCAAATGCATCCATCAAATATGACAAATATAAGACCTGACAAACGGTTTCCCCTATCACCCGTATATATAATGGAGTGTGTGTATATATATATATATATAACACATACAGAATCCCAAAAAGTACTGTCAACATCATATAATAATGGATAACACTTAGCAACTCTCTTAAATTTTTCTTTACTTATATACTGTATTATTTTTGGAAGATAAACCTAATCCTTAAAATAGTTAAAATCACTTATTTATTATTATTATTATTATTATTATTATGTATATTTATTTGGTGAAAATAGAGCAAGGGAGATTAGTCGTTCCAGTCACATGACAAATTCCAATGTTGCGTTTCAACTTTAATCAAGAAAAGTATCATTAAAACTGACCTCAAAAGAGAGAATCGAATTCAAAACCTCCGAGTTAGAAAATTGACTTATAAGAAGCTTATGTAAACCATATCACTAAAAAAACATCCAAAGACAAAGATTCGATTAGCATCATCGGTGTAGAGTTGTCACCAAACATGCTATGTATTGTGCCTATGTATGACTTATGAAAGTTGTCACACACATTAAATGCTGAAACCAAAGACTTTGGATCAAATTCATACTAATTTTGAAATAATTTAAATTTCGTGCTTTGAGTAAATTGACAAGGTATCTTGGAAGCCATATATATATTCTGGCAATCAGTCCCTCACATTATTGAGAGAAATGCTTTATATATTCGTGTGTGTGTGTGTGAGAGAGAGAGAGAGAGAGAGATAGTTCAATGCATTTAGACAACTTTATAATTTTACTTCCAAAATTACAAATTTTTTTCCTTGTGCACACAACTAGTTACAACAAGTACAAGGCCTTTAAGCCAAGTAAAAAACATTATGCCCCACCATCTTCTTGTATTTCAATATACATATTCATTGAACAAGAAGATACATATATTTATATATCCTATCCACCCTTTTCACATAAATCTCTTAGTTGGGTAGTGAAACTTTCATTTCTTGAAGTCTTCTTTGCACCCTAAACTGTCTTTTTAAAGACATTCTTTTCCACTCTACCAACTTTTGCAAAAAGTCCATAACCTGCATTTACATTAATTATAAAATTAAATAAGTTATTTATTTTTGAAGATATATATATATATATATATATATAAACTATTAATTTAGTAGGGTTTATACCTCGGATGGCTCCTGTAGAGAATAAGACGCATTCGTGTCCTTGGGAATTTTCGAAACAAGAATACCAAAACCTTGTCCTCTGTCTCTCAAGACCTAATTCAAGTGAAATTAGTCATGATTAATAAATAAAAATAAAAATATGTATTTGTTATAAGAATAAAAATTTAATTTAATCGAATCGGGAACTTGGAATACCTTGAATGCATCTTCATCTGTTCGATCATCTCCAATATAAACAGGAAAGACATTGGTACAATTGGCATACCCTAAAGAATGTGATTCATCGCAAAAATTAGTGATTAATTAAAAAAAATATTTAAAAAAAATTGTAATTCCTATTATTATTATTTTTTCCGGTAATTACCAAAACTTACCGAGAGACTCTAACAAAAATTCTAGAGCTTTGCCTTTGTCCCATTTAATGGTAGGACGTATCTCTAATACCTGCAAAATTAAATAAATAAATAACAATGGAAGTGTTACAATGTTTTCAACCCAATAAATAAATAAATATATAAATAACAAAATAATTATTATTATTATTGTTGAGTGCCACATCACACACCTTCCTTCCTTGATTCAATTGGAGCTTTGGATACTCCTTCATCACTGATCTCACTACTTGTGCCAGTTCAATCCATTTCTGTAATGTTCATGCAGCTAGTTAGATCTTTCTATATATATATAGACCCACACACACACACATATATAAAGAAAACAGTTTAAAAATGACCCACGTATCATGCATGGAATAAAATAATTGTAATAGTTATTATTACTAATAATTATATAGATAATGAATGAGACACAGTGAATCGTACCTTCTCATCAACACAGCGAAAATGTACTGAGATACAGAACTTGTTGTTCTCCACCTTAGCACCAGGAGTCGATTTTGTTTTCTCCACCAATGTTTTGTAAACCTGAAAATTAAGGAAAAAAAAATAATAATAATTACTGTTATTTACCGAAAAATTAAATTAAATTAAATTTGGTATAATTCATTTTTGAGAGATTACAGACCTCATCGATCATTGGAAGGAATTCACTGGCTGGTTGGCAGAGAACAGCTTGACTACCCTGTATGTTGCAAACATGAGATTGTTAATTACACATACAAACATATATATATATATAAATATGTATATATAATTTCAATTATTTGGAATGAGAATTCAAAAGTGAAAAATAAATAAATAAATAAATAAAATTGAGACAGGTCCAAAAACAGCTCTAACTCACTGACCTCCTTGTATTTGGAACCTTTTGATGGTCCTTTAATGTCCATGCCATGACTTCCAGCATAGTACAACTCTGCTAATTGTACAAAGTTATAAACCTACACATTAAATAACAAAACAACAACACTTTGAATTAGCTAAAAATATATATATATATATATTGAAAAAATATATATATACAAATCATGAATTAAAAATATATAACATGAAAAGGGCCAAAAATAGAAAAAAAAATGTACCTTATCTCTGCACCTCCCACTCACTATTGCTGTGGGAAAGTGTCTAGCAAGCTTTCTCACTGTATCTCTCATCTGACATATACAAACAAAAACTTTTAACAGAGTGTTTTATTGAAATTAATATGGATTATTTTTTATTATTATTTTTTATTATTTTTGAAATTGCTAGAGAAATTGTGTAGTAAATGGCAAGAACACAAGAATTGACCTGATCGGACATGTAAGCACGATCAGGATCCTCGACAATCGGCGAAAGCGTGCCGTCGTAGTCGAGAAACATAACAATTTGCTTTCCCTTCGAAGCGTTTGTTATCTGCTCAAACATGTCCAGAGCTGATGGGTGTTGAACCTGTTCATTATTTCAGACAATAATTAGATTATATATAAATATAGTATCATTATAATTTGTAGGTCACAAAAATAAAATTAAAAAATTAAAATAAAAGAAACAAAGAATAAGTCTACGTATATATTTATTTACACATACAAGTATATGAATGTATATACCTTTTTTTGTACACATACCTACACCAATACAAGTATATAATATATATGTTTTGTATCTATGTAAAGGTACATCACTTTCTGTATGTGCATACATACATACATATAAACATATGTGTGTATCTATATGTGTGTATAGATATATGTATATATATATATAGAGAGAGAGAGAGAGAGGATTAATAACATACCATCCAAGAGCTTTGGTGATCGGAGAGAGGAGGTGATTTGATATGAGTGGGAGAGGAAGCTCTCATGGAGTCAACCCAGGAGTTGATTCTCGCTGCTCCATTGATTTCAAGGTTGTGGTGGAGCTTCTTCCGGGGAATGGTGATGTAACCGCCGGGCACCGCCGGAGGCCTCTGCGCCGCCGTCATGAACAGCGAAGAGTTGGACACTGCCACGGTTATCGCCATACCGGATTTCGTGTCGGAAACAACCACATTCTGCTTCGTCATTTTTACCGATCAAAATCAGCACTACAAAACCACCCAAAAATCACATTATTAACAACACAAAACACAAAATGGAAACAAACCTATTTGAGAAGACAAAAACACTAATCATTACCTAAATTTATGAGAATTTTAGAGTGAGTTTTGTGGGTTAAAAATGGTTATGGAAGTGAAGTAGAAACTAAAAACAGAGTGCTCTGTTCTTGAGACTTTGTAAACAGAACAGAGAAGAGATTGAATTCGATAGAATCACAAAAGAAGGAGAAAATGGAAGGTGAAATGCGAAAACTGAAATGGGTCGCAGAGATTTGTGGAAGGAAAGGGCTTAGAGAGAGAGAGAGAGAGAGATTTTGAGTGTGAGAGAGATTGAGGCCCATGTTGTTGCTTTATAGTTGCAACCAGACACTAACGGACGAAACGATGCTGGTCTTGATGGGACACACTCTGTGACCCCACACCCTTTCACCACCCGATATCCTGAGGGGTTCCACTTCCACGTGGCCCCCACCCACACGCTATCATCGACTTCTTCTTCCTCCGCCGTCTTCACCATAACTTTTTTTTTTTTGTTATACATACGAAAATGATACTTTGACTGATTTTTCATATTTAAATGAGTTTAAGAATTTTTATACCAAATTCTCTTTTTGCTATACACTTTTTTTATTTAATTAAAAATAATTCTTTAATTGATTTCTAGACTTATATATTAAGTTTTAAGAGTTTTTATTTCTTAGATGTAGTAAACGAAGTTTCTATGAAATTTTTATTGTTTTCGGAATCTTCTTTGCTATACACTTTTTTTATATTTAATCAAAAATGAGTCTTTAACCAATGTGACTATTAGGTTTAAGAATTTTTATTCCTTTGATGTAATGATGTAATGAACGGGATTCATGTTTTATAATTGTGAGTTACAGTTTTTCAAAATAGACGTTCTTTTGAAGACAGAGAGAGAATTATCTATTATATAAGATGAATGAAATTTTTCAACAAATAAATTAGAGTAATGGGTCTAAATATTATCACTCTTACCTTATATACAAAAAAATTGAGCTTAAAACACCATTTAATCTATAATGCAACAACAATAAAAATATTATCAATTCAATAGTAACATGTTGCGGGGGTATTTCAATTTCGAGATATTGTATTTCATTCAAGATTTAAAGCGAGCCAAGAGAAAATAAGTTGCTCAAATTCATTAAAGAAATTTTAGGCATAGAACTTTAGCTTAACTTACTTTTCAAGAGTATGTGATATGATATCATTAGTGTTATTAATTAAATAAATGTCACAAGGTAATCAGTGGTATCATGTTATCGGTTTTTAAGACATATTTTTCTATTATTACAAGTACAAACCCACAGGATTTGGTGTTCATTTCTAAAAATGGATCTGAAACTGCATCAAAAATCCGAAACCCACTCTTGGGAAGCAAGTTAAGGCCATTAAAGGTTGTGACTCTGTTAAAATAGAAACTTTTAGAGCCCCTTGTAAGGTTCAGTTAAACAACGAGCTCTAACCTACCCTGTTGTGCAAAACCACTTGGCTCTATTTTAATGTGTATATATATTATTCATACAATCATATATACTAATATAGTAGCTAGGTTGCACAAGTTTTACATGCAACATTTACTTTACAGAAAGGAAGATTACAAAGATTGTTTCCATGTATGTCTACCCAAATGCTAAAATGATGAAAGGACGACTCTGCCCTTTTGTAATTTGCATTTAGTGCTCTCAACTTGCTATAGAAAAAACACACCATAAAGTCTTTGGGAAAATGTACTGAATATCTAAGACAGTGAAGGAGATATTTGGTATTTCGTTGACAACCAGAGCATGGTCGCCTGAAATTGTGACTTTCCTCAACTAGTGTTGAAGGAAATTGTGGGTCTATGTAATTTTTCTTTTGAAAAGGCAGAATTTTCACTCTCAAGTTTCTATTTTATTCCTTTGAAAGGCAGAATTTTCAGTCTCAAGTTTTTATTTCTAAGGACAGTATTGTTCTAGTTTGCTCTTGTTTTTTTCGAAATTAAATTCAAAAAATATATATAGAAAATTAAAAAATGGTTTTCAATGTATAGAACTACTGTTTCTTTAAATTGGGTTGTGTTTACAACCGAATACCTAGTGACGATACTTTCTCACTTTGTAAAGTAGAAAATAAGGATTCAAGTCCAGGATGGTGTGAAGTGTATTTCTTTTCAAAATAAAAATAAAATAAAATAAGATTGTCTTAGAATTTGCTTTCATATATTAATTTTTATGAAACTTTCAATCAAACAAAATCTCAATTTATTTTCTACCATATGTGTAGTAATATTTTTCTACCTTTTGAAGTGGAAGGTTAAGTGTTAAATTTCCCATGCTATGTTCTCTATTGGGACAAATAAATAAATAATTAATTAAAGAAAAGAAAGTAATGCAAAACATAAATTAATTGTAAAAAAAAAAATCATTATCACCATTTTATATCATTCTTAATGTATATCGTATGTTTTTGTTATTATGAATAAAATTATATAATATTTAGGGAAAAATAAATTCTAAAATAAGCCACCAACATTAGCAAAAGCGGTATCCCTTCATGTTAGGATATTAACTCCCTTCTTTCATCACATACAATGGAAGTATCATCATTACATCAATCAGACAAGCATATATAAATATAATAATCATACACATCAACGCACAACACAATATTTACATTGTTCAACCAACTCTTGGACTACATCTGATGTAGAAATTATAAATGTTTATTTTACTCGCAAGCGCATGAATCTATTGTAGTATAGAAAATGCAAGTGCGAGGTCAAACCCAATGCTTTGTAGAAGAACTAATGCGAATCCAAACTAATTTAAATCTAACCTAGTTAACCAATTTGATTGAAGAGAGTATGTTTGTTATACTTAAAACATACAAACATAAAATGAAATTTTAATAAGTAAGAAAAATATCTAAGGTATTGGATTCCAGTACCATTAAATTCACAATCTCTAAATTATTCATTCATTAATTTCCAATTTTAGAGTAGCAATGAAGAAATCAATCTATTGCTCTCTCAAGATTTAGCAATAAAATCCAAATAAAATATTTTATCAAAGGTAAATTATTCTTCGCTTCAAGGAATAAATCTTAAGAATAATATGTATCCAGAACATGAAAGACATAGGATCAAAGAAATAATTCTAAGCATCATATGTATCCAATTTCAATGGAAAACATAATATCAAATGATTTTACATTTACAAAACCATGCATTGATCAATTGAACATAGAGATTATCTAACTACCAAAAATATATGATATTAATGGTGAAAGCAATAAAATTCAATTAATCATAAAGCAAGAATTATAAACATTAAAATTATTAGAGTGGAAATTGAATGAATAAAAACTCAAGAGATTATTGCATTAATGGAGTTTCATCCTTAACCTTAGATAGAAAAATTAGTTACACATACTAAATAAAAAAAATAAACAAAACAATAAAACCATAACAAACTCTTTTCTAGTCCGTAGCTACTTGTCCGAATCTCCCTCCAGAGCACCCTCCTTTTTTCTTCTGTATCGACCCCCCTTAACTCTGCTATCATCTCTTCTATATATAATAGTCTCTCTAAGGTTTTCTCCAAAGGAATTAGGAAGAATAAATTTGGAGGAGAATCAAATCTGCCAGAATTTTCTTTCCATAAATGCAGCAACTTCAATCTCGATTTTGTCCCTGTTGGAATGCAAATCACAAAATATCTATTAGACACAAAAACGACGGGCTTCGAGTTAGCAGATAATCCAAATCATATTAATGAATCAAAATCAATATAGGAATTCAATCAAAATAATCCCTGACATGTATACCACACACACCAGCGAATTTTCGATCATTCTTCGACAGACTGCTGACCCCCAGCTAAATTTTTTAACAATTCTTTCAATCAAATAACTTTCACCTCTTCCTATTTTCATTCGATTATACACGTACGAACACAGGCAATATATTTTAGACAATATAATACAAGTCATATGATCCAAATAATACAATAAGAACAAATAAGCACAAATATTTGTTGAACCAAGAGGGAGGTAAATTGGTCAATTTTAAATCATTCTTCTTCACAATAAGATCAATATTGATAAGCAAATACAATGAACACAAGAAACACAAGGAAAACCCTCTCAATAAGGAAAAACCTTGGTTCTTGGTCTCAGCCAATATAAGCTCCACTAGTTGTATGTAAGTAGTTACATACTCGGCTGTTTCACACTCTGCACACACCGTTGTACAAGTTGAAACACTGGTTTTCATAGTTTGTACACACACACTAGCTCAACATAGTGCTCACAAGCACTTCCCCTGTCCTAAGCACCCTTGCTTGGACCCTGCTGCTCTCACAACTTACCAAATACATATAAAAGAATAAATATCAACAATATTCAAGCATACACAAAAGATGAGAGTGGTTGTGAAGCTCAAAACAACAATCTAGAACCTCTAGAACCCTTTCTACAGAAACTAGGCTTGAGGGGTAAAATTGGAAATTCGTGTCCCCAAAATTCTGAGATTATTCCCACAGCCTTATATCACCATTACAAATATGCTTAGATGATAAACAAGATAAGATTAGCATGTGAATCACAATATAACATCAACAAGGCCTTGACATCAACTACACAATGAAGTACTAGGGTTTTGGTAGGTCAAAACCAAAGATGACCAAAGTTCTATCCAGAAACCAACTTCAGTAACCTTGATTCATCAATACAAACTTGCTAGCATGTAGATCAAACATTGTATAGCAAGATATAAACAATATATATATGAATCACAAGGCTAAACCAAAAAAATCTCAAATCACAGGTCTGAGAAGTGAAATTCATATACAGCAAAGTATGGGTCAAGAACAAGTGCTCAGTAAATGTAAATAGCTCAAATATACCTGTCTCAACCTTGACTAAGCAACACAACAACCTCAGGCCTAAAGTGAACCTTCAAACTAGCCTTTGCACTGGCAAAACACGATAGCAAATGGACTCTATGATGAACACAACAACAAGCATCAATTTAATGATATTTCTATAAAGATTTTAGGTTCAGATCATCATTAAGGACCTTAGAAACGTTAGTTCATATAAAGCTCTCGAGATAGGTTCAAAGTAGGTTGTAATAACATTCTTATCAAAGACTTAGTGATTAAGAAATGCAATATTGTGTATACACTCTCATTCTAGGACCACGGCCAAGGGCGGAGCCAGTATATGCCCGCCACCGGGGGGGAGGCCCTGCCCTATATAATATTTATGAATTTTAAATTTTTTTTGTTACATATATATTGAAATTTGTATATCCCTTAAAAATATTGAAGTTTCCAAAATTCTCTTGACTTTTTCCCCCTTTTTTTTTTTAAAAAAAAAAAAAAAGTCAAATTTTCCTTATTCAACCATACTCTAATTCATTTCTTTCAAAATTCTGTCATTTTTCTTTTCCTATTACTTCTTCTACTTCTTAAACTTCTTCGATATTTTTTTATTTTTATTGGTACTGTATATGGAGGGAAATTTCCCCACCAATCATAATAAACCACGTACACATAAGAATAAGGAAGCCCACCTTTAGTCAAAAAGTCTTGAAGCCCAGCACAAACCAGAGGCCCAATAAGAAAGACCTAAGAAAAGGTCAAGTTGGCCCAATTAGCGAAGGAAGGTCCACTTAACAAAAGGCAGATTAGGGAATAGCCCAAGCTTGGCACATTCAAACTTCCATAACGCCCACAATAAAGGAGAATGCTGCGAAATAAGGGGCCATGAATACCCATGTCTGAAAACTGCCAATAACAGCTCCATGTAAAGCTCTATACAAACATATAAATAAAGGATGAATAAGAAGATAAATTCATCGCTTTCCAATTGCATCTATTTTGTTGCCTAAATTGTTTATATTCAGTCTGTTTCTATTGTTTATATTTTTCTATATTTTATCTTAAGTGTTTGGGTGTAAAAATTTGCACCTACACTTTGGCGCCGTCTGTGGGAAGCGTTTAAAAAAAGCCTTTTCACTATCACTTTCATGCGACATCACTCCAGAATGGTGATAGGATCAGATGCCACACAAGTACAACAACAAGAAATCATTCAGAAGATGCGTGAGGAGATGCAAACACAATTTGACATCCTTCGGCAGGTTAATGATGCTAGTACCGAGTTGATCAATGTCTTGAAGCAAGCTAATGAGGCTAACATAACACAAATCAACGCTCTGCGATAAGAGAATAAAGCACTCCAGGCTTCTATTCAGTAAACCGATCCACTGATCATCTGTCAACCAGAGCGCCAGGACAAGCGCGGTGGATCCACCCACAACACCTGGACTTAATAACCCTCCTTAACAGCCAAGGATTCCTCGGCAACACCAACATGATGCCTCAAACCAGAATGATAGTGAAGAGACTGCAAGTCAATCTCACTTCATAGCAGATTCCATATTGGGAGGGCCACGAACCACTAAAATCCCGGCCTCAGAAGACCATACTGAGTCAGGAAGAAAAAGTGCGTGGGTCCCAGTTGGCGAACAACAGTTGCTAACGAGCGGTTTCATTGCCAAATTCTGAAAGAAAATAGATAAGCAAAGGGCTGAAGGCCCAAACACCCGAGGACATGGTAAGGGAGTTCACTGCTTCAATAGTCAAAACTCCATTCACAAATGAAATCGAACAAGTCGCAAGACCCAAAAATTTCATGATGCCAAAGTTCATCAAGTTCAATGGAACTGGAGATCCCCTCCAGTATCTGATCATTACACTCAGGAGATGACCTTAAAAGCATGAAATGATCCCTTCATGTGCAAAATCTTTCCATCCATTCTAACAGGGGTAGCCCTGGAATGGTTCAAGAACAATCTATGTAAGTCAATCTCAAACTTTGAGACGTTATGCATTACGTTTCTTGCTTAGTACTACAGAAACAAGAAGCAGAAAAAGACCATCGCCAGTCTCTTCATGATTCAACAAATAAAAGGAGAAGGCCTCCAGACCTTTCTCACTTGGTTGAACATGGAGTTTTCAAGCATTCCGAATTGTAACCAGGATATTGCCATAGAAGCATTCAAGATAGCCATGATATAAGGTATACGTTTCTATTCTTCACTGATGAAAAAGACTCCAGTTGACATGTCAGAGTTGAATGTAAGAGCACAAAATTACATAAGACTCGAAGAGAATGAAATGGCAAGGCAGTAAAGGGCAACGCTAGTCACGGTGGAAAGCCGACCGAGAGATTGGCCGAACACCTCAAGAGCCCAACGGGAACCCTCGAACATTGAAGGAAGAGCTCCTAAGAAAAAATTATGAACAACAGAGAAGGTAACACACCTCAGAGTCACGCTGGCAAGATTGTATTAGGAGATGAAAGACAGAAACATTTTTTAAATCCCTCTACCAATCAGATAGCCGATGGAACAAAGGGACCAAAGTAAGCACTGTGCATTCCATAATGATTTTGGGAACCTAACCAATGATTGCAGGAGTATGAGAAGACAAGTAGAAGCAATGATAGCCAAAGGCGAATTAGCCGATTATCTAGCCAACACAGGCCATCAAAGGCAATCTGAGCGAACAAGACTAGCCCTGAAGGTTGCAGTAGACAGTCAACCCGTTCGGGTTATCAATATGATCCATGGCCGTCTGGAAGAAGACAAACAACCAGAGAATTCCTATAAGATTCAACTCAAGCAAGTGCACAAACTCTGAAGGATCGGTGAGGTCAATGCAATTGAATGTAAGTTGAGCTCAACACAAATTTTCTTCCACGAAGGAGATCTCAATAGAATGCAACATCCACATGAAGATCCATTGGTGATTAGCCTACTGGCAGCAAACTACTTAGTCAGGCGTGTACTCTTTGACCCCGGTAGTAGTGCCAACATTATTATAACTAAGTGGACATTCGACCAGCTAAAACTGGCTTTGGATCAGGTCCGCCCCACCGGAAACCCCTTAGTAGTGTTCGGTGGGAGAAAGGTAGAGCCCATAGGCGTAATCACGGTATCAGTCACCGTGGCCAAAAGAACTTTGAAGGAAAACTTTGTGATTGTAGACATCCACCCAACCTATAACCTACTTATAGGTCGAGGGTGGATCTATCGAATGGAAGGAGTTCTGTCAACTCTGCACCAAGTTATGAGATGTGTTGGCCCCAACGGGCGAGAAATTATTGATATTTGGGGAGATCAAGTGGCAATGAAGGAATGCTACCATACCACGATCCGACCAGATAACAAGGGAAAGAAGTTGCTGAAATAGCAATTACCAAGCTCCTCCTCCCCCATGGAGAATGAGAAACCCAAAGAGGAGCACCCGATCGAAGAACCCCTAGAAGCTGTGCAGTTAGTCGAAGGGGAAGAGCAAAGACTTACTTATATAAGCTAACTAAAATCTTAAGGTAGAACGTCGACATTTTCACTTGGAACCACTCGGACATGCTGGGAATTGACTTAGGGGTAGTGTTTCACAGCCTAAATGTAGAACTGAGTCACCACCCAGTGAAGCAAAAGCAGAAAAGGTTCGCCCCAGAAAGGAATAGAGTCATTGCCGAAGAGGTCGACCGACTTTTGGAAGTAGGGTTCATCCGAGAAGTCCAATACCCACAGTGGCTATTGAACGTAGTTGTTGTTCAGAAGAAAAATGGCAAGTAGAGGGTGTGCATCAACTTCACCAACCTGAACAATGCCTGCCCAAAAGATAGCTTCCCACTCCCAAAAATCGATCAGATGGTGGACGTTACGACTGGGTACGAGAAACTAACTTTCCTTGATGCCTATTCAGGTTACAACCAAATCTCGATGGATCCATCAGATGAATAGAAGACTTCTTTCATTACTGAACGCGGAACCTACTGCTATAAGGTAATGCCTTTTGGACTGAAGAACGTAGAGACAACGTACCAGCGACTGATCAATAAGGTATTCGAAAAATAGATTGGCAGAACAGTCGAAGCTTATATAGACGACATGGTCTTAAAAAATGAAGAAAAGAAAGATCATCTGCAACACCTACAGGATGTATTTGATACCCTTAGAAAGAATAAGATGAGACCAAATCGGGTAAAATGTTCATTTAGGGTGTCCTCAGGCCAGTTCCTAGGCCATCTAGTGAACAAGAAGGGCATAGAAGCCAGCCCTGCTCAACTGACAAAATTACTTTAGAACAAAGAGCCTCAGACCATAAAGGATGTTCAAGTCTTCACCGGGCAAATTTCAGCCCTCAACCGTTTCATATCCAGACTGTCAAACAAGTGCAAACCTTTCTTCGACGCCATTAAATCAAAGAAGGAAGAGGTATAGGGGGCAAAACAGCGAAAGGCTCTTATAAAACTCAATGAGTATATAACCAATCCCTCAATCCTATTTGCCCTAGAGTCCGAAGAACCATTGTACCTTTACTTAGTAGTATCTCGGTCAGCAACTAGTTTGGCCCTGGTAAGAGAGGTGGGTAAAAAGCAACACCCTGTCTTCTATTCCAATAAAACATGATGGACTCAAAAAGCAGGTACTCGATGACTGAAAAAGTCATCCTCCCCTTAATCCAGGCAAAAAGGAAGCTCCAACATTACTTTAAGGCTCATCGAATAATAGTCCCCACAACACATCTAATTAGAGTAATCCTCAATAAGCCAGACATCTCAGGCAGAATTACCAAATGGGCAATCGAATTAAGCTCTTTTGATATCCGATATGAGCTACGTACCACGAAGAAGGGGCAGGTGGTTGTAGAGAGAAGAACAACCAATCACAGAGAACCCCCTCTGGGAGTTGCATGTAGACGGCTCCTCAAGCCAAAATGGAGCTAGAGTAGGGTTGAAAATTAGAACTCCCGAGGGAACCAAACTCCAATAGCCAATCCAATTGGAGTTTCTAGCCATAAATAATGAAGCAGAATACGAAGCACAATTGGCAAGGCTTACATTAGCCAGAGAGCTTCAAGTAAGGCACCTTCGAGCTCACAGTGATTCACAACTCGTCACTCGACAGATGACAGGTGAATACACCCCAGAGAGGAAAGAATGAACGCATACAAGGAAGAGCTGGAAAAGCCGGCAAAAGGCTTTGACACAATAGAATTCCGGAAAATCTCAAGGAAAAAGAACCCAATTGCTAATCGCTTGGCCTGCGCAGCCTCATCCGCAAACAACTCGATGATAAAAATCGTCCCCATTGACATTCTGGATACACCGAGCATTATAAATGGATTACCAATGTTGGTCATACTAAGGGAACCAATCTAAATGGACCTAATCCTTGCATATTTGGAAAGAGGGGAACTCCCCAATTCCAAAGAAGCAGTTTGGCAGCTAAGAGTAAAAGCTACAAAATATTCTATCATAAATGGAGAGCTCTTTAGGCGTTCATTCTTAAGGCCTTACCTCAAATGCTTGACTCCTACAGAGTCAAGAGAAGTCCTGAATCAATTACACGAAGGGGAATGTGAAAATCACTCTAGGGCAGGTCATTAGCTCACAAAGCCTTGACCCGAGGTTATTTTTGGCCTTACATGGCAAGAGAGGCAGAGGAGTACTCCAGAAGGTGCGACAAATGTCATAGGTATGCACCCCTCGTCCATCAACCTCTAGAAAAACTGCACACAATGAGCAGCCTATGGCATTTCGTTTAATGACTGATGGACGTAGTGGGGCCTTTACCCCCTGCTGTAGCAACTGATTATTTCACCAAATGGGTGGAAGTAAAGGCATATGCGAGCGTAATTAATGTTGAGGTGAGAAAGTTTATCTAGAATAACCTCATATGTAGGCTTGGAATCCCACGATCAATCATTATGGATTAGGTTCAAACCTCAGCAATCAATATACTCAATGGTTCTTCGACAAGTATAGAATTAATCAAAAAATGTTAGCTTTATACCATCCGTAAGGCAATGGGCAAGCAAAAATAACTAACAGGACAATTTTTGCTTGCATCAAAAAGAAACTCGAAGACAAGAAAGGAAAGTGGTTGGATGAATTGCCGAATGTCCTATGGGTGTACAAGACCACTCCAAGATGCCCCACGAGTGAAACCCCCTACTCTCTAGCTTACGGAACTGAGGCCGTAATCCCGACGAAGATAGAAGCACCAACCATCCGAAGCTTAACATGGGGGGAAGAATCAAATAATCAACTTCTAGAGCACAATCTAATCTTCTAGAATTAAAGAGAGAAACGGCAGCCATTTGGCTAGCAGCATATCAATAAAGGCTGATGAATAGCTACAACAAAAGAGTTAGACACAAGAGCTTCAACCTAGGAGACCTGGTGCTCTTGAAATCAGAAAAATATTTCAAAAAGTTGGAACCTAACTAGGAAAGCCCATACCGAATCTTGGATGTGATAAGAAAAGGGGCATATAGACTCTAACACCTGGATAACATTGTGACGACCCTGGATTTTTCACCCAGTATGTCCTATGATGACCCGAAGTGGATCCAGAATGCGGAAGCAAAACGAAAATAAGTCCATAGAGATGTACATTATTCCTAGGACACAAGAATGGACTTTTAAAAAGTTTTGAGGCTCAATGGAAGTAAAACTAAGATAAGGGTATCAAAACCCTACCAAAAGAAGGACTAAGGGTAAAATGGTCATTTTACCCTAAGAGGAAGGAATTTAACTTCCAACAAGTCAAATAAGATCAAAAACATGTAAAAACATCCTTTGGTAACTTCACGTGAAGTTCCAAGGCCAAAGAAAGAGAAATCCCAGATGAACCCTATCCCAATTCGAACTAAATCTGACACCATCTCACTAAAACAAGTATATCTTGAGCTATGAGAAGAATCTGAAATTGAAATTTATACCATTGGAAAACTTACTTTGACACATTCAGTTTAGACTCAAGAAAGGACCAATTCGGAGTTAAAATGAAGAAGTTATGATAGTTCAAAGTTGGAAGACCAAGGCTGAACCTACAAAAATGGTTCTGGAGGACTTGAATCGGTTCAACATTCTTGAACCGGTTCAACATTGGCAGAAAGCCATGGTTTTGCCAATGTTGAACCAAAAATGACTCCTGAAACCGGTTCAAAATTTCTTGAACCAGTTCAACCTGAACAGATTGTAGAAAATGCAGTAGAAACAGTAAAAATACAGAAAAATGAGTTTAAAATGCGGTTTTCGAGACCAAGATGACATTTTTTGAAAAAATGTCATGAAGAAACTCCCCCTAAAATCACATTTTCTATGTGACGGAGTCAAGATCGGAATTTATTTCCTGAAGGAAATCCTTAAAATACCCTAAAACCGGATTATGCAAGAAAAATGTGAAATGAGTCCATAGGAGGCTCATTTCACCCACGAAAGAGTTTTTCATAAAAATGATCATGCACGCAGGAATGGTCCGCGGCTCCCGGAAATAGCCGAGTCAAAATCCGACCCCCCGACGGCCAAAAAGGTGAAAATGAACTTGAAATAGAAATTTTGAAATCCAAAATTATGAAATGGTTTCAAATAACCATTTGGTCCTTGGCCACACTTCATACATGATTAATGAAACCCTATGAAAGAATGAAAAATGGAATTCCCACACCCGATGCAAACATGGTGAAGCAATGACTTGTGATTTTTCAATATTTTCATAACATTTCATGAAATCAAAAATTACATAGGATACAAAATACATGTCATTGGCTTTTGGCTTCAACTCATACATGCCAGATACATTGTAAAGAGTGTACTTATGTACACATTACATATATAGAATCAAATATACACATTTTGACATAAAATGCTACAAGTGACATTTCAAACCAACCTTTACAAGAGTCATGAACAAGAATACACTTAAAGAACTTCAATTCATCAAAACGATCCCGGGATATTGTGCATCCCAAACCAAATCATCCGTACCTGACAAATCACCTGGTAACTTTGGGGTGTGTAAACAAGTTTACTCGTAGGGAATGAGCATGCATAGACTTAACTTTTTACAGATATTTACATTAACATGAAATAATTCAAAATGGACATGTCACCTAACGTTTATGTCAAAGTGAGACTCAGGGATCATCCTGAGCTACTCATGCAATTGAAATGAGATACACGACATACAAAGGAGGAACTAGTAATGGGCTAACCTGGGCTATAGCCCAGGTCTAATTGAAAAAAAAATAAAATAAATAGTACTATTATTCCTATAAGCTCATGTACTACTCTTCCTCTTCTTAGCAGCCCATCCCAATCCATAGTATTTCTATAAATAAAAAAGAGTTATAAAATTTACAAATGTCAACTCTTAAATATGAGCAAGCACACA